TATGGTATAGGAACAAAAGAAATACACATAGATCCATGGAACAGAACTGAGAGCCACAAAATAAACATACGCATATATGGTCAATTCATCTATGACAAAGGAGGTGAGACTATACAATGAGGAAAAGATATCCTCTTCAATGAATGCTGGTCGGAAAAATGGACAACTACATGCACAAGAATCAGACTGGAATCCTTTCTTATACCACCTACACAAGCAACCTCAAAATGAATCAATTACTTCAATGTAAGACATGAAGCCATAAAGCTCCTCGAAGAAAACATAAGCAGTAAGCTCTTTGACATCCGTCTTAGCAATACTTTCTGGATCTTTCTCCCCAAGCAAGGGGAACAAAAGCAGAATAAACCAATGGGACTCCATCCAACTTTAAAGCTTTTCAATGGCAAAGGAAACCATCCACAAAATGAAGAGGCAGCCTACCGAAGGTGAGAAAATAGTTGCAAACGATATGTCTGAAAAGGGGTTCATATCCAAAATAGATGAAGTAAAAAAAAAAAAAAAAAAAGATATACACAGGGAGATCAGCTCGGTGCCTTGTGACCACCTAGAGGGCTGGGATGGGGAGGGTAGGAGGGCGGGAGACGCAAGAGATATGGAAACATATGTATATGTATAACTGATTCACTTTGTTATAAAGCAGAAACTAACACACCATTGTACAGCAATTATAGCCCAATAAAGACGTTAAAAAAAAGAAAACATATAAAAAATATAGGAATGCATCTAAATCACATCTACAATGGACACTTAGGTTTATCTTGGATGTCTGAACCATACTTACTCCTTTTTGACTGTCAAATGCATTGCCCTCCTCAATGCCGAAGCAGATGTACAATTCATATCCAAAAGGCCACAAAACAGGCCACTTTGGTCAGTAAAATTTAAGTTAAACCATGTATAAACCAGAGTGACTTCCTCACACCTCAAAATGTGAAGAGATTTTTTTCCCTTTTGATTACAAGTCTTTCAATAGAAACCACTGATGATCAAAATGTCAATCCCGGGCTTCCCTGGTGGCGCAGTGGTTGAGAGTCCGCCTGCCGATGCAGGGGACACGGGTTCGTGCCCCGGTCCGGGAGGATCCCACATGCCGCGGAGCGGATGGGCCTGTGAGCCATGGCCGCTGAGCCTGCACGTCTGGAGCCTGTGCTCCACAATGGGAGAGGCCACAACAGTGAGAGGCCCGCGTACAGCAAAAAAAAAAAAAAAAAAATGTCAATCCCTCAGTGCCAGAATGAGTCAGCTGTTTGGCCCAGGTGTAGATCATGTCCCTCAGCAATAGGCCTGCTTTATATTTCCCTAGTTAATCCACATTGGGGGAATACTGATCAGGTATCGTGAACATGCTCAGAGGAATGTTAATGAGAAAACGCTTTATATTGGCTGTACATTTTATTATTCATACCCAAGTGTCACACAAGCATTGCACATGTGCCTTTAGCAGTAGACCTAAAGCAAACAGTGATACATCGTGAGTCGTCACATTCTCATAACTTCACTAGGTAATTTTCCTTTCCTCTTAAACATCAGGGCAAAATGAAGCCAACACAGTAACTTTCATAAATACACACTTCCATACAGAGGTGTCATTTATCCAATTGCTCCAAGTCCTAAGTAGCTTGAGGGGAAGGACTTCCCCGTGTCTGGAAAACACAGATCAAAGCCAGTAACAAAAAAACAAAAACATTATAACCATATTCACCAGCTCACTCAGTAACCAATCTTTCTGTCCACTTTTTATGAAGCCATCTGATTCTCCATTATGATTTTTCATTTCTTACCCAGTTTGGCATTATGATATGAAATTTATCAGAGACCCGTGCTTGCCAAAAGGTCCTTCACATAGGTCTTCTTGAAGATGGAACACTGTTGCAAAGTGTTAGAGCACAACAGTAACTATCTATAAATCACATAAAGACTTAAAAGGTCATGGTTAAACATTTGATCACAATGTAAATGACAAAAGAAACCATTATTGCTGTTACATACAACATTTAAAAATAACTAGAATTATGACTGATACAATTTTACCAGGACATACTAGACTTTTAGGAATTCCATGTAATTTAACATACTAATCAAACATTTCTCTCTGAGATGGCTCAAGGGCCTTCGAAAGCAGCTCAAACTTAGCTGGAGATCAAAAGAACTGTTAGAATTGGCCAAACAACACTTATTCACTGAACCAAAGTAAAGAGATTTCAAACAAAAATACAGATCACAGACACAGGCAAAGGAACTCACAAGCTGTTCACAATCAAAAGCAGCATTCCAAGAAAACTTTGGAGGGAGGACCCAAATCCAGGCTTGCCCTAACCCACTTCCAATAACATCCATCTTAGAAAATCCTGGTCATGCACAACTCTTTCCTCAGTGTTCCCTTTGCACAAATGTTCATCACCTTCTGTATCCATCTTATGTTGCCCCTTATTTTTTTCTGCATTCAGACACAACCAGCTCTACTACAAAGTGACTTTCTTTTCTCTTTGTACCATCAGTCTGTTACCTAGCTGCTCACTTTCTTTATTACGTAGCTTAAAAAATGCTTGAACATATGGAACTTCTTTTGTCTTTCTCTTCCTGTGACAAAAGAACTCTAGCTGAAGGATACTATAGTCATTTAGGCTCCCATTCAAAGACCACCATTCCTCATTTTTCAAGAATGTATCCATACACTGGCCAGACAAAATTACACTAGAATTTCCTTCTTTTCTTAGTCTTAGGTCTACAACTATAGGTTGACCAGTCTGCCAGGATTCTGCCCACTGGCTACCACATGGACCTGAAGAAGAAACACTTCTTATGCTGGAACCACAGACACTCACACACGGACTAAAAACAAAACGAAATCCTAAACACCAACGGAGGCCTCAAACCAAAGGAACCAGAAACCAAACAGAAACCAAAAACCAAACAGCACAAGACTCACATCAGCTTCCAGGTCTCAACTTAGCCTGTGACCTCTGTCCAAGGGGTGCACCTTCCAAATGAGATTGCCTGGAATGAAAAGTCACCCAGATGGGAACCAAGGTTCCCCCAAATGTACAGGGCTAAAAGGACCTCAGACTGCATGCCAGGGGACTTACCACACGCTGGCTGAGGCGCTGCAACCTCCCAAATGCTAGTTTCCTGGTGCCCCAAAATAATCCCTGGGAGTAGGACATTCGGGGCAGCCCAGGCAGGAGGACCAGAGGAACGTCCTCAAGGCAAAGATGGCCTCGGCAGCTGCTAGAGAGGTCCCCCTTCCACCATGTATTCCTGCCCCAGAGTTCTAACTGCTGGGATGACTGGGGCTCGGCCTTTCCAGGCAAGGATCCCAGGTGATCTGGCCTCTAAAGGAATTCTCCAAGCCCACACTCTCTCGAAAGAGGCTGGAGTGGACAAAATCTCTGTGTCCGATCAAGTCAGGGTACCCACAGGGGCCATCCCCAAGTCAGCCCCACACTGGGGACTAAATTTGTTGTCGAAAACTCGCCCTCTGTGCACCAGTGCCAAGTCGAATCTCAGAGACAGAGGTTTGGAGGAAGTAGAAAAGAACAGCTTTACTGCTTTGGCAGCCAAAGGGGGACACAGAAAACGCGTGCCCTCAAAAACCGTGCATCCCGATGCGGGAGGATCTGGTGAGGTGTTTTACAGCAATGGTTTAAGGACACAGTCGCTCCTAACGATTAGTGTGTGTACAGGGCCTTAACTCCCTCTAATCTGGCCTCAGATGGTCTCTTGATGAGCTTCTCTGAAATAAAGAAGACTAAAATCTTATATTTTATGGGAGTTTTAAGTTGCTAAAGAGCCCAGAGATACTCTTACCTGTATCCCTTGAGGCAAAACCAGGATCCTGCCCCAAGGCCGCACTATTGTTTCTTGATGGTTCCTCCATTGTCTCTGCATCCCCTCTCTTCCCTGATTAGCAACTGTTGGAATCTGCCCTTTGGAACTCAGGGAAGGTCCTGGAGTCTCTAGCCTAAATAAGGCCATGACATTACACCTAACTCAGTCTCTGACACTCTCTAACTAAGGCCCTGCTACCCTCAATATTTAAGTCCTGACATTATCCTGAGCTAAAACACCGACCCTTATATTACCAAGGTCCTGAAACTGTCCCAAAGTAAGCCGTGACACTGTCCCTAAGTGAGGCCCTGAGGCTGTCTCTAAAAGAGGCCCTGAGAATGTCTTTAACGAAGACCCTAAGGCTGATACTACAGAGGCCCTTACACTACTCCTACATCATGCCTGACACTGTCCACTCCACGCGCCTCAGCACGTACCGGTCGGCCTTCGCCTCTGGAGCAGGAAGTGTAGAGCGAGTGGGGAAATTCATAGGGGCGGCAAAGAACAGCCGCGCCACGGGCGTCTGCGTGGGTGCAGGACGCCCTCCCTTTCCTCCCCGCAGCGCCGGGCCATCGCGGGGTGGCTCATGCAGCCCAAGGGGCGCTGGCGGGCACCGGTACGCCGGGCCAGGCGGCTGCACGTCCGGGCGGAAGCGCGGCGCGACCACCCCCAGTGAGCCTGCGCGCCCAGAACGCGGCGAGCGAACGACGCGCCCACGCGCCTGCGTGACCCGGAGAGCTGCCGCCGGCTTCGCCGGGCGCCCGGGACTCAGCTTCACGCTCGGAGGCCGCGTCCCATCCATCGCCAAGGGCGCCAGAGCTCCAGACGGAAGAGGCGATATAAAAGGCGCGAACGTGAGCGCGACAGACCCCGAGAGCCCGGCAGCGAGGACGCAGCGCTGGCCGCCCCAAAGCCAGAGCTTGTCCCGGGGCGGGTGGAGGGCGTCCGCCCCGGCCCTGAGGCATCCTCGTGGCACTTAGCTCCCGGTTTCGCATGGCACAGCACGGCACGACCGACCCCGGCAGCAGACAGGGGGAGCGGGGGCGGGGAGAGGAGGCTGGGAAGATACTGGCTGGCATCCGCCGTCAAGGAGACACACTAGCCACGCGATTTCCAGGCGGTTAAAATTCCACGGTAGACGCCGGCGGGGCCTAGTGGCCGGCAAGGGCTGCCCAGAGTGCAAGAGCGAGATCCTGGCTCCTGCGAAGGAGGGAGGCCGTGGACTGGCAAACCGAAACCAAGCAAGTGCTCAAAGAACAACAATGCATGAGTTGGTTTTCATTCCATACTTTAGAACGGAGGAGGTCTTTCGAATGTACAGGGAAAGCCCAGAAGCTGGAAAGGAAAGGCTGATACGCTCAAACCGATACAAGTGGAAATAAAAATCTATCTCTGCATAGACCCGTGACAAAGTCCAAAGACAACAAATTGGTGTGTGGGGGACACTGTGGAAAATGCACTTGCGGTCATGATGACATGCATTTCAGAGTGACTTACCACAATAACAGGGGGGAAAGAAGTGTGTGTGTGTGTCAATAGCTATCCACTATACACCAAGTTCCAGTACATCTATACAATGCAACAGTGTGTGTTGTGTGTGTTTGAAATAAGTTAAATGATGATGATAAACTGTAGTCCAATAAAAAATAAAAAAATAAAACAACCACCCAAAACTCAAGATGTAGAACTTCCAATGTCAGGCATTAAAAAATAAATTTTAAAAAATGAAAAAAAAAAATATATATATATCTGATAAGGGGTTCCTATCCTATCCCTAACCCTAACCCTAATCCCTAACCCTAACCAAAACGCTGTGAGATTAGAAATCAACTACAGGAAGAAAAAAACAAAACACTGTAAAAAACACAAACACATGTAGGCTAAACCTTACGCTGCTAATAACCAAGAGATCACTGCAGAAATCAAAGAGGAAATTTTAAAAATACATAGAAATAAATGACAATGAAACCACGGTGACCCAAAACCTATGGGATGCAGCAAAAGCAGTTCTAAGAGGGAAGTTTATAGCAATTCAGTCTCACCTCAAGAAACAAGAAAAATCTCAAAGAATCTAAGTGTACACCTAAAGCAACTAGACAAAGAAGAACAAAAAGTCCCCAAAGTTAGCAGAAGGAAAGAAATCATAAAGATCAGAGCAGAAATAAATTAAATAGAAATGAAGAAAACAATAGCAAAGATCAGTAAAACTAAACGTTGGTTCTTTGAGAAGATAAACAAAATTGATAAACCTTTAGCCAGACTCATCAAGAAAAAAAGGGAGAGGATTCAAATCAATAAAATTAGAAATGAGGGGCTTCCCTGGTGGGGCAGTGGTTGAGAGTCTGCCTGCCGATGCAGGGGACGCAGGTTCATGCCCCAATCTGGGAGGATCCCACATGCCACGGAGTGGCTGGGCCCGTGAGCCATGGCCGCTGGGCCTGCGCATCCGGAGCCTGTGCTCCGCAACGGGAGAGGCCACAACAGTGAGAGGCCCGTGTACCGCAAAAAAAAAGAAAAATAGAAAAAAAAAGAAAATTACAATCCAATATCACTGATGAACACAGACAGAAAAATCCTCAACAAAATACTAGCAAACAGAATCCAGCAACACATTAAAATGATCATACACGGTGATCAAGTAGGACTTCTCCCAGGGATGCAAGGATTCTTTAATATACATAAATCAATCAATGTGATACACCTGGGGTCCTCAACCCAGGGCCATGGACCAGTACCGCACAGCACGAGGTGAGCGTCTGGCAAGTGAGCGAAGCTCCATCTGTATTTACAGCCACTCCCCATCACTTGCATCACCGCCTGAGCTCCACCTCCTGTCAGGTCAGTGGCATTAGATTCTGTGTCCCCTGCATCGGCAGGCAGACTCTTAAACACTGTGCCATCAGGAAAGTCCCTTTTTTTATATTTAAATATTGAGCCATCTGGAAATTTATTTTAGTGAAATGTAAACAGGTTAAGAAACAATGACATCGAGTGCTTTCTTCAATCAAAAATTGTTCTACCTTCCCATAATACAGAATTTAACTGAAACATGGCTGCCCAATCAAGGACTACATTTTCTAATTCCTTTGATTTATACGTGTGGCCATGTAACCAGTAGAATATGGTCAAAATATGCATGGAAGTGATGTGTTTCACCTATAGGCCAAGACCTTTAGGAAGTTCTCTGTCCCATCTGCCATCTAGACACAGGCAACAAAAGAGGACGTGTGGATTGTGACACCGTAAGTTGGCAGGAACCTGGGTCCCTGAATCACCATGGTCAGGATAGGTACTCACTCACCAGGAACATCTACAGTGACTGCTACATGAGTGAGAAATACACTTTCATTGTGGTAAACCACTAAAATGTTGGGGCTTCCTTATTAAAGTGGTCAGTATGGCTTCTCCACTAAAGAATCCAGTGATGAGATAGCTGTCCCTAAGCACTTGTGTCTGAGCACACTTCGTTTTATTCAGCGAGCACTCTGCCCACTGCCAATGTATTTCCTGAGCCCTAGGGGACCAAGAACTTCTAGAGTTAAGTCCCCTCAAAAAAGAAGCACAGAGAAGAGGAGAAACACTAAAAGGAACCAAGGAAGACAAAAGCAATTGACCCCCCCTCATGAAATACATGATGGGGTGATTGGGAGAGGACATCCTAGATGAGTTTATCCGAGTGAAAGAGGTGAAGGTGGGCAAGCTTTAGCTAAACAATGAACGGTCTGATAATTCAGTAACTCATTGACTTCATATTTCTGCCTATGCTAGACCTTCCACATCAAGATGAGAGGACTATGTTAGAAAACAAATATCTGAGCCCCAAATCAAGGGAAATTACAATAGTCCTTTGGTATCCGAGGGAGATTGGTTCCAGTACCCCCTGCAGGTACCAAACTCTGTGGATGTTCAAGTCCTTTATATGAACTAGCCAGTACAGTCGACCCTCCACATCCTCGGTTCTGCATGGTTCGAGTCAACCAACTGAGGATCGAAAATCGGTTGGTGGAATAGAGGATCTGGCCCACGGATATGGATTGTAACCAAGGGAGAGCACTCAGTCCTAGCAAACAGGGCTGGTTTACAGGTTTTTCAAGAAGGAAAGGGATCAATGTAAGGGTCAGGATAAGAAGTATAAACCTAAGGGAATTTTCCTGAAAGGAGACAGGGAAATGTAGCCACTAAAATGCTGGGGCTCATTTATTAAAGTGGCCAGTATGGCTTCACCAATAAAGAATCCAATGAGGAGACAGCTGTCCCTAAGCACTTGCGTCTGAGCACACTTCGTTTTATTCATTGAACACTCTGCTCACTGCCAATGAAAGGGAAATGTTAGTTACATAGTATTTGTAAAGGATCTGGAAGGGAGGCAGTTTATCAGTGGGTGACTTTCACAGTTAACTACATGTTAAAGTGAAAATTCTATTCAGGGCACTTGTGTCATCCACATCACTAGACTAGACCATGGAAGAATCTGAAAGTAAAAAGCAGAGGTATATCAAACCAATCCAGGCTTATTTCAATTCGTCTCTTAATAATAATCCTTCATTTAAAACAAGACGTCCAGGACAAACTTAAAATAGGTGGTACACCAGAACAGCAGTAGAAACCAGTTTTAGCTACTAGACACGGAATTAACAATTGCATATGGATTTATCAATGACCTGAGCAAAATAGGCTTCATTTGTAAATATGAATGGGTAACAAAAGAGTCCTCGAGAGGGATACATGAAGAAGGAGGTGATGAGCTAATAAAATACCTAAAGTAAGTGAACAACAATTATTTGCCATTTAAGTTGAGGTTGAATTAAAAATATTCAAGCATTACAGTACACACTTGTCCCTCTTAGCTGCCCAATATTACACAGATTTTACAAATGTTCGATTCGTTGAGGAACTACTTTGAAAAGCAATCTAGTGCCCTACAAAGTTATTCAACTAGTTTGTGAACTAGTCTTCTATTATTTTTTGTTGCAATTTGCTCAAAATCACTTGTGAATCTTTAATCAAAGTGTTCAGTGAGTGGAACTTAAAGTTTTGAAGCCTTTAGCAAATTGGAATTCTTGAAAACATGGTGCATAAACAGGAAGTCATTGAATCTGTCACTACAAAAGTGAGGAAGGAAATGACCAAATCAAATAAGGGAGTTCAAACAGTGTACCTGATTGAAAGTTTATAATTATGCTTTGTAATTTCATAACTTGTGAGAAGAATTTTTGGCTGAGCTTCCATTTGGGGGATAAATTTACATTCTGTAATGAATAGAATGAAATTGAAAAGCTCTAATGTTTTGTGATATCTCTATTTTGTTTGGCAAAATATTCAAGAGAATTAGAAATAGAGACAACATAGTTGATGAGTTCTGTGTTAAAAAATATTTGTCTAAGAATGACAGTCTCAATGAAATAAAAATGGACAGTATGATGAAAATATTTGGACTAAAATATTTAAATATTTCCATACATAAAAGCATAATTAAGTACATTTACTGAGCAGAATTTTCCTGAGCTTACCAAGAATCTCACCATAAGTAGAAAGAGTATTTTTCCAACAAAATATGGGCTACAGAGAAGAGTTTATCAAAGGTATCAATAAATTTCAATTTATTAATAATAAAATGCAACCTTGGAGACAATTACAATTTTATGAACCAACTAAAAATCATGAGAACATATTTGTAATTAAAGTCGCTGAAGGAGAGGGGAAAGGCAATGTGGCAGGAAAACATTTGAAGAAATAAATGCTAAAATATTTCCAAATATGACAGAAACTATCAAGCCACAGGTCCTCAGTGCTTAAAGATACCTAACAAGATTGAATAGAAAAAACATCATATACAATCTCATCATAGTCAAATGGCTGAAAACCAATAATAAAAAGAGCTTAAGTGAAGCTAGAAGAAAAAAGGCACATTCCATAAAGAAGATCAATATAACAGTGAAGGGGAGAAAGTATTTGCAAATGAAGCAACTAACAAAGGATTAATCTCCAAAACATACAAACAGCTCATGAAGCCCAATATCAGAAAAAAACAACCCAATCAAAAAAATGGGTGGAAGACCTAAATAGACATTTCTCCAAAGAATACACACAGATGGCCGAGAGACACATGAAAAGATGCTCAACATCACTAATTATTAGAGAAATGCAAATCAAAACTACGGTGAGGTATCACCTCACACCGGTCAGAACGGCCATCATCAAAAACAATGTACAAAAATGCTGGAGAGGGTGTGGAGAAAAGGGAACCCTCTTGCACTGTTTGTGGGAATGTAAATTGACACAGCCACTATGGAGAACAGTATGGAGGTTCCTTAAAAAACTAAAAATAGAATTACCATATGACCCAGCAATCCCACTACTGGGCATATACCCAGAGAAAAGTGTAATTCAAAAAGACGCATGTACCACAATGTTCACTGCAGCACTATTTACAATAGCCAGGACATGGAAGCAACCTAAGTGTCTATCAACAGAGGAATGGAAAAAGAAATTGTGGCACATATATACAATGGAATATTACTCAGCCATAAAAAGGAATGAAATTGGGTCATTTGTAGAGACATGGATGGACCTAGAGATTGTTATACAAAGTGAAGTTAAGTCAGAAAGAGAAAAACAAATACTGTATGTTAACAGACATATGTGGAATCTGGAAAAATGGTGTTGATGATCTTATTTGCAAAACAGAAATAGACACACGGACATAGAGAACAAACATATGGACACCAAACAGGGACGGGGGTGGGATGAATTGGAGATTGGGATTGACATATATACACCACTGATACTATGTATAAAATACATAACTAATGAGAACCTATTGTATAGCTCAGGGAACTCTACTCAGTGCACTGTGGTGACCTAAATGGGAAGGAAATCCAAAAAAGAGGGGATACATGTATACATATAGCTGATTCACTTTGCTGTACAGTAGAAACTAACACAACATTGTAAAGCAACTATACTCCAATAAAAATTAATTAAAAAAATATAGCAGTGAAGGATGAATTCTAATCAAAGCATTACATCAAGAAGACAATGCAATGACATTTTTAAAGGGCTGAAAGAAAAACATCTTCTCAACCTAGAATTCTATATCCAGTTAAACCAGGGGTCCCCAGTGCCCGGGCCACAGACCAGTACAGGTCCGTGGCCTGTTAGGAACCAGGCCACACAGCAGGAGGTCAGCAGCAGGTGAGCGAGTGAAGCTTCATCTGTATTTACAGCCGCTCCCCATTGCTCCCATTACCGCCCGAGCTCCACCTCCTGTCAGATCAACAGTGGCATTAGATGCTCATAGGAGCACGAACCCTACTGTGAAACTGCACATGCAAGGGATCTAGGCTGCGTGCTCCTTATGAGAATCTAATGCCTGATGACCTGAGGTGGAGCTGAGGCAGTGATGCTAGCGCTGGGGAGCGGCTGCAGATACAGGTCATCATTAGCAGAGAGGTTTGACTGCACAGAGACCATCAAAACTCAATTGCTTGCAGACTTGTATCAAAACCCTATCAGTGAGTGGCAAGTGAAAACAAGCTCAGGGCTCCCACTAATTCTGCATTATGGAAACTTGTATAATGATTTCATTATATATCACAATGTAATAATAACAGAAATAAAGTGCACAATAAGTGTAATTTGCTTGAATCATCCCAAAGCCATCCCCCACCCTCCCTGGCCCATGGAAAATTTGTCTCCCATGAAATTGGTCCCTGGTGCCAAAAAGGTTGGGGACCGCTTAGTTAAACTATTCTTAAATAATGAGGAGAAAATAAAGGTATTGTTTGATTCATGGTCAAAGAAGAAATCACAAGGAAAATACGAGCTTATTTCGAAATGAATGATAATGAAGACCCCTCATATAAAAATTTGTGGATAGTTAAAAGAGTAGTTAGAAGGAAATTTATCACATTAAAAGCTTTCTTAGAAAAGAATAAATGTTAAAATCAGTGACTTATCCTACCACCTTAAAAAGCTAGAAAATGAAGAGAAAGTTAAACTCAAAGAATGAATAAAGAGTGTGGCAATCAAGTAGCAAATAGAGAAATAAAAGAAATCAATAAAGCCAAAAGTTGGTTCTTGGAAAAATTTAATAAAATTGATAATCCCTTGATCAAGAAATAAAAGGTACATAATACAAATTACCAATATCAAGAACTGCACAGGGGACACCACTAGACATTAAAATGGTAAGAAAATAATCAATTAGCCAATTAGCAAAATGGGCAAATTCCTTATAAAACCAAACATACCAAAATTGACCCAAGAAGAAAAAGAACATCTGAATGGCCTTCTATTTGTTAAAGAAAGTGAATCTGAAATAAAAATTCTTCCCAGAAAAACTCCATGCCCAGAAGACTTCACTGGTGAATTCTACTTAACATTTAAGTAAGAAATGAAAGAATTATAACAACCATACGTCATATATTTCAGAAAATAGAAGAGGAGGAATATATATTTACTGGCTTGTTTCCTGAGGGCAGCATAACCCTGATATAAAGACCTGAGAAAGGCATTACAAAAAAGGGAATTGTAGACCAATATGCCTCATAAACATAGGAACATATATCATTGATAAAATATTAACAAAACAAAGACAGCAATATATGAAAATAATAACATGCCATGACTAAATGTGAGTCATCCTAGGAATGCAAGGTTGGTATAATATTAAAAAATCATTCAATATAAATTGTCACATTCACAGATTAAGACAGAAAAATAGACATGATCATCTCAGTCAATGGACAGAAATTATTTGACAAAATTTAATATCCATTCATGTTAAAACGTCCCAGAAAACTATATGTAGAAAAGAGCTTCCACAATCTGACAGAAGATGGCTATGAAAAACTTCCAGGTAATAATCATACTTCCTGAGATATTGACCACGTTCCTTACAAAGTTGAGAACAAGGCAATGATGTCTGCTTTCAGTACATTTTCCCACATTTTACTGGACATTTTAAGCCAGTGCAATAAGATAAGTACAAGATAAAGTTTATGTAGGGAGAAATAGAATTGTCTTTATGTGACCTTTACATAATTGCATAGATAAAAACTATTAGAGAAACTAAAAAACTCTACATGAACTAATAAATGAACCTAAAAAGATTACACAGTATAAGGTAGGTATACCAAAACCAATTTTATTTTTATGTACTAGTAAAAAAAAATGGAAAGGGGATTTAAAATATTTACAATGATATAATAAATGAATGTACTTAGAAGTAAATCCATGTAAATCTATAAGACATGCCTGAGAGAAATTAAAGAAGATATAAAAAATGAAGAGATAAACCATGTTCACAGATTGGAAGATTCCATACTGCTAAGATATCTATTTTCCCCAAATTGATCTGTAGATTCACCATAACCCAATCACGATCCCAATCAAAAATCCCAGATTTTTTTTTGATAAATTGACAAATGATTCTAAAATTAGTATCTAAATGCAAAGAACCTAGAATAGCCAAAACAATTTGGAAAAGAGGAAAAATGTTGGCTACCTTACCTAATTTCAGTAATTAATAAAAAGCTTCAGTAATCAATGCAGTGTGGTATGACAGTAAAACAGATCAATGCACAAAAATAGAGCCACACATAAATTGTCAATTGATTCTCTGACAGAGGTGCCAAATTAATCCCTATGGTGAAAGGACAGTCTTTTCACTAATGCTGCTGGGACAACTGGATAACTATAATGGGAAGACAATGAACCTCTATCCATACTTCCCAACAAACATGGGTCTATGAATCATAGACCTAAATGTAAAAATAAAACTACTAGCTTTGAGAAGAAAACAGAGATGAATATTTTGTAATCTTGGATTAGGCAAAAATTTCTTAGAGAGGACACAGAAAACACTAACCATTAAAAAAATGATAAATTGGATTCCAAAACTTAAAAACTTCAGTTCATCAAAATACACCACTAAGAACATGCATAGAAAAACCCCAGACTAGGAGAATAAATAATAATCAGTTGCACTTTTACATAATAATGCATATGGGAAGTACAATGAAAATAATATTCCATTTATAGCATAATACATAAAATATTTGAATTCCAGGCATAAACTACTAATGATGAAATAAAAGGAAAGAATAACTGGAAAGTTATACTTATGCTTGATTGTATAGACCATAATAAAGATGACAACACTTCCTAATTTAGCAAAGATATTTTAATGTAAGACTAATTAATTTTTCTCAGGATATTTTAAATAACATTTTAAAATGGAATTTCCACACCAAGGAAACATGCCTTTGTATCTAGTTTATTGACTATTCTTAATAGCACATTTTTATCAGATTGGATTGGGGCAATCAGGAATTCTATAATTGGCCTTTGATTGGTTAGTGGCTAGTCAAACTTTCAAAAAAAGGTTAAGAACACCGAATAAAAATTAGGGCATGAGCAACTCCAAATACCATAACAAGAAACATAATCTTAAAAAATGTCCTGAAGATGTATGCTTTAGCTGCACATAAGACACACACCCCCTATTATTGTTGAAAATGCACTTTGCAACACAGGGTAGCCTAGCAGATATAATGCCTCGATGGTTTTTTGGTTTACTGAGGGCTTTGAACTGGAAACGAATGCATAGGAAATGTGCGCAGAAAAATCAAAAGAAAACCCTATACAAATGACAAGATTAATCATAGATATGGAATCAAGACTGATGTTCCAGAATGCCATGAAACCCGTTACTCCCACAATCACAGAAGCGATAGCAAAAGTTACCCACAAAGAACACAGCGGGTGAGGGATTAACAGGAAGGAAACAATGAACATAGCTGTTGAGGCAACAATTACATTTCAAACAGCATTTTCTAGTATTGCAGAATACTGATCAAAATATATGAACGCGTGGCTATACACCATTAGGGGAATTTCACACTTTTCGGCCATGTCTCAGAACTGGAGTAACGTCAGCTTCTTACTGGTTGGAGAAGAAACACCCATGGTCTGAATGAAGGCCAGGGAACAGATGATTTCCTGTGATGATGTAATGTTAATATCATACATAACAAGTGGAGAATCTAATACAAAATTGGGAATATTTTTTAGAAAAGTTATCTTATCATTTACATCGTGATGGTGGTTTTCCATCTATTTCACATATTCTCGTAACCAAAACTCTGTAAGATTTTTATCTACATAGTCACTGTTTTCCAAATCTACAAGACACTTTTCCAATTTTTGCCTAGCATCTCCTTCCCAACGGTCAAGAGCTTCAGTAACAATAACCATAACCCTGTGGGACCATAAGTTGAAAAATGTTCTTCTTACGGTGTGATGCAGGAGTCAGCACTTGCCAAATTTCGGAGGTCTAAACCTTTCTGCACTTGGAGACACCCGTATATACTACTTATGATGTACAAAATGTATATAAGCACTACAAAAACTTGGACTCAGTGCTTGTGAGAAAAGGACCAAAATAGTCTCTAAAGAACAAATTCATTGGGTGCATATCAGCTTTATGTTTGTCTCGGAGAGAATTACATGGGAGGCGGCAGGGCTTTTTCAATGAGGAACGTTTTTGGTCAGGAGTTTCTGGTTTCTTCAACCAGCGTAGACAAACTACCTCTCTCTTACCATCCAGGGCCATAAATGCTCCAAAACAGGTGATGTTATAAAAATAACAAAAGAGGAGGGTTGTTCCTGTATAGGTGCGGACCTGAAAGAGGTTATAATTCCTGTAGAGAAGGCCAGGATGTTGGTGATGGTGGTGACTGTAATGGACACTGCCACTTTTGAATAGACATTGGACATCCGTTCTTTTATGCTATCCATGAGGTTGGTCTTCTGCCAGGCAGAAATCATGATAAGCATGTCATCGACCCCAACGCCTGTTAAAAAAAGAAACAGAATCTTCATACATATGAACATCCATTAAACATTAAACAGATCAGTTCACACCATTTCTTTGTCCATCTCTTAAGGTCTTATTTATCTTCCTCAATCTGTGTTTTGATGCTACTTTCTGTGATGCTTTCTCTGGTTGCCTCTGAATCCACAACAGAACTTATCACTCCTTGCTCTGTAGTAGCTCTGTGCTTTGCACGTACTCCTATTTGCACAGAGCACAGTATACTCTGCTCCTAGTCATCATTCAGGGTGTTTTAATGATGAGTCAGGAAACCTGGCTGCTGGGTGTTAGGTGAAGTGGGATTAGCAATGTATCCTTGACTCCATTAGAATACTTGAGAGACCATTTTCTCCCAGAAACCATTTTATTCTAATGCACTAATGTTGAGCCAACATACTGTTGCTTAAAATATGAGCTGGATTTATCTGTTCTACAGTTAGCATCTAGCTATCAATGTGCTGATTGTAGAGGCACCCCATAGTTTACAGACACACACACACACACACACACACACAAATGCAGTTTTACTGCTAGTCTGTTTTTGATACCCAGAAGGCTATCATTCAAACTTCACTTGCCCAGGTTGAGGCATTATCACAATAAAAGGCAGGCTCTCTTGAGATCAGAAATATGCACCAAAGTAAATATTAAGAATCCTTTACGCATTAAATGCCTACTAAGGTAATCAGTCTTTTCCACAATGACGTTTCCTGATTGGTTTGGAATAAAGAGGACAGGAGAACATCTGAGGACTTTGAAACCATCAATGAAGGCTAGGAGAGGAGGACCATAGAGAAGAAATGGGATTACAAAGGACAGCATGAGCATGTTGCAGACAAATTTCATCTGCCTCAAGCTTTCTACTGCTCTCATTCATGTACACCTCTGTTTCTGTGTATATTGATACAAAATCAGTACTTGGAACTAACATGCGGTAGGAGGGCCTACACTGACACAAGTTTACGTAGCGTGTCATAAACTGCATCCCGACACTCCCCCTGCTGCCAGCTTTGTGGATTTCAGTTGTATTCAGCTGAACAAAAGGGAAGAATCAGAGGTACTAAGGATGACGAATAAACTCACTGATATTTATTAGGTATTTAAAAACCAGTTTTTTCTTTATAGAACCTTGTTCAAAAATTGTCCTCGTATATTTCTTGAGTTACTGAAATCACAACCCCCCCACACACACACTCATACACACACACACCCCTACACTCATACTTCTATGAATATACACAGTACGAAGACGCTTTATATTAAATCGGTTGCATACACTTTAACTATAGTTATTTATGACTGTGGGAACACCGAGAGCTTAAGCGTGTACTAGGAAGGTTTCCTCCACTGTCTCCCCTAAGAAATCAAATATTATTTCTTCCAAGTTGCTTACTTTCCAAAATATAAACATATTTATCTTCTCATGCTTATTGTAAAATAAATCCTGAAAGTACAGGAAAATGCAAAGAAAAAATTTAAATAACTGTAATTCCACCCTTCAGGGATAATCCTTGCTAATATTTTAAGTATAGCCATCCGGAATTTGCTCTATACAAAAATACACATATATTTGTATCTCTATTTTAAACATCTTGTTTCATAGCCAGCATTTTTCATTTAACACTTTATATCTACCTCTTTTTAAAGAGTGAAAAGGATTCCAAAACTTTAATATGCTATGTTTGAGTGGACCAATCCCATGTCGATATGGGATTAGGTTGCTCTTGTTTTTTCCTAATTCTAAATCACACTGAAATGACATACACGTTCTACTTTGTGAGCACTTGTCCAATAATTAGGACAAACTCCTAGAAGTCGAGTTGGCAGGTCAAAGGTACTCCCTTTTAAATTTTTAACTCTTTTGATCTGTTGCAAAGTTGTATTTTAAAAGTGCACCAATTTACAAACTTCCCCCAGCAGAATATGAGTGTTCATTTGCATAGAACATTCCCCAAACCTTTAATCTTGCTAATATTCATTAATAAGAAAAGAAAACAAAGGTGTCTCACTTTTGTTTTAACTTGCATCCCTTGATTTACTGAAAGGTCAAATATTTTTTCTTATATTTTCAGTGACTAGTATTTTGGATTTTGTGTGTTTGGGGTGTGTGTGTGTGTGTGTGTGTGTGTGAACTGCCTGTTCATGTCCCTGGTCTGTGTTTTTCCATTTGGGGTACTAGATTTTTCTAACTCTAAAGACACAGAATTTCATCTGATTTTCTTCTTTCCTGATACCCCGTTTTGGATCTGTAGAGCCACCTAAATATAATTATTCTGCTTAATTTAACACAATCCCCTTCCATTATCCACCTCACACCCCCACATAGACAATGTGCAGCCTCACGTTTTGTTTTACTCACCTAGAATAAGAAATGGTGAATTTGCAACTATGATCACAAATGGCACCCCCAATATACAACATCAGGCCAAAGCCACTCACCACTGCCAAGGCAGCAGAAATCACTCCAAAGGCTGCAACCCACATTTTGTTTCGTATACAGTCACACCTGTAAATTTGGAAGGAAAAATCATGGAACTTGTAGTGGTAGCTTCCATACTGAAATTCCAGCAATTCATAACATTTTTGAATTGGACACCTATACAGAGCCCTCCTGGGCAATAATTCTCATACCTGTCTGCTGGAGAACTTTAATTTCCAGGCACTAGCCCAGACCAACTGAAAAAAAATAGGGAGGTTGGAGACAGAAAAGCTGGGAATCTGTACTTTTACCAAACTATACTGGTTGATTCTTACACCTCTAGCCAAGCACAAATCCACTGACTGGCATTTCAGGACCACAAAGATACACTAAAACACTGCAGATGGTTAATTCCACTCTGATCTTCAAAGGAGTGTGAATGGAACACAACAGCAAATGGAAGTACCTATATCCAGTTGTCATCTCACCCACCTGTGACTCCAGTTAGCACTAAACACGATCCTAAATAGCTCCTGTATTTCAAAGCTGGTTCAATATGTATCTGGCTAACAAAAAGTATGAAAGCCTCCTTCTAGAAGCAAAAAGAACTACAGTCCTGCAGCCTGTGGAACAAAAACCACATTCACAGAAAGATAGACAAGATGAAAAGGCAGAGGGCTATGTACCAGATGAAGGAACAAGATAAAACCCCAGAAAAACAACTAAATGAAGTGGAGGTAGGCAACCTTCCAGAAAAAGAATTCAGAATAATGATGGTGAAGATGATCCAGGACCTTGGAAAAACAATGGAGGCAAAGATCGAGAAGATACAAGAAATGTTTAACAAAGACCTAGAAGAATTAAAGAACAAACAAAGAGAGATGAACAATACAATAACTGAAATGAAAACTACACCAGAAGGAATCAATAGCAGAATAACTGAGGCAGAAGAACGGATAAGTGACCTGGAAGACAGAATGGTGGAATTCACTGCTGAGGATTAGAAAAAAGAAAAAAGAATGAAAAGAAATGAAGACAGCCTAAGAGACCTCTGGGACAACATTAAACACAACAACATTCGCATTATAGGGGTCCCAGAAGGAGAAGAGATAGAGAAAGGACTCAAGAAAATATTTGAAGAGATTATAGTCGAAAACTTCCCTAACATGGGAAATGAAATAGCCACCCAAGTCCAGGAAGTGCAGCAAGTCCCATTCAGGATAAACCCAAGGAGAAACACTGCGAGACCCATAGTAATCAAATTGGCAAAAATTAAAGACAAAGAAAAATTATTGAAAGCAGCAAGGGAAAAATGACAAATAACATACAAGGGAACTCCCATGAGGTTAACAGCTGATTTCTCAGCAGAAACTCTACAAGCCAGAATGGAGTGGCATGATATACTTAAAGTGATGAAAGGGAAGAACCTACAGCCAAGATGACTGTACCCAGCAAGGATCTCATTCAGATTCAATGGAGAAATCAAAGCTTTACGGACAAGCAAAAGCTAAGAGAATTCAGCACCACCAAACCAGCTCTACAACAAATGCTAAAGGAACTTCTCTAAGTGGGAAACACAAAAGAAGAAAGGGACCTACAAAAACAAACCCAAAACAATTAAGAAAATGGTCATAGGAGCACACATATCGATAATTACCTTAAACGTCAATGGATTAAATGTTCCAACCAAAAGACATAGACTGGCTGAATGGATACAAAATCAAGACCCATATACATGCTGTCGACAAGAGACCCACTTCAGACCTAGGGACACATACAGACTGAAAGTGAGGGGATGGAAAAAGATATTCCACGCAAATGGAAATCAAAAGAAAGCTGGAGTAGCAATATGCATATCAGATAAAAGAGACTTTAAAATAAAGACTGTTACAAGAGACAAGGAAGGACACTACATAATGATCAAGGGATCAATCCAAGAAGAAGACATAACAATTATAAATATATATGCACCCAACACAGGAGCACCTCAATGCATAAGGCACCTGTTAACAGCTCTAAAAGAAGATATCGACACTAACACAATAATAGTGGGGGACTTTAACACCTCACTTACACCAATGGACAGATCATCCAAAATGAAAATTAATAAGGAAACACAAGCTTTAAATGACACAACAGACCAGATAGATTTAATTGATATTTACAGGACATTCCATCCAAAAACATCAGATTACACTTTTTTCTCAAGTGTGCACGGAACATTCTCCAGAATAGATCACATCTTGGGTCACAAATCAAGCCTCAGTAAATTTAAGAAAATTGAAATCATATCAAGCATCTTTTCTGACCACAATGCTATGAGATTAGAAATGAATTACAGGGGAAAAAAGTAAAAAACACAAACGCATGGAGGCTAAACACTATGTTACTAAATAACCAAGAGATCACTGAAGAAATCAAAGAGGAAATCAAAAAATACCTAGACACAAATGACAATGAAAACATGACAATCCAAAAGCTATGGGATACAGCAAAAGCAGTTCTAAGAGGGAAGTTTATACCTATACAAGCCTACCTCAAGAAATAAGAAAAATCTCAAATAAATAATCTAACGTTACACATAAAGGAACTAGAGAGAGAACAAACAAAACCCAAAGTTAGCAGAAGGAAAGAAATCATAAAGATCAGAGCAGAAATAACTGAAATAGAAACAAAGAAAACAATAGCAAGGATCAATAAAACGAAAAGCTGGTTCTTTGAGAAGATAAATAAAATTGATAAACCATTAGCCAGACTCATCAAGAGGGAGAGGACTCAAATCAATAAAATTAGAAATGAAAAAGGAGAAGTTACAACAGACACCGCAGAAATACAAAGCATCCTAAGAGACTACTACAAGCAACTCTATGCCAATAAAATGGACAACGTGGAAGAAATGGACAAATACTTAGAAAGGTATAAGCTTCCAAGACTGAACCAGGAAGAAACAGAAAATATGAACAGACCAATCACAAGTAAGGAAATTGACACTGTGATTAAAAACCTTCCAACAGGGGCTTCACTGGTGGTGCAGTGGTTGAGAGTCCGCCTGCAGATGCAGGGGACACAGGTTCGTGCCCCGGTCCAGGAAGATCCCACATGCCACGGAGCAGCTGGGCCCGTGAGCCATGGACGCTGAGCCTGCACATCCGGAGCCTGTGCTCCGCAACGGGAGAGGCCACAACAGTGAGAGGCCCGTGTACCGAATTGAAACTGTGATTAAAAACCTTCCAACTAACAAAAGTCCAGGACCAGATGGCTTCACAGGTGAATTCTATCAAACATTTAGAGAAGAGCTAACACCCATCCTTCTCAAACTCTTCCAAAAAATTGCAGAGGAAGGAACACTCCCAAACTCATTCTATGAGGCCACCATCACCCTGATACCAAAACCAGACAAAGATACTACAAAAAAAGAAAATTACAGACCAATATCACTCATGAATATACATGCAAAAACCCTCAACAAAATACTAGCAAACAGAATCCAACAACACATTAAAAGGAGCATACACCATGATCAAGTGGGATTTATCCCAGGGATGCAAGGATTCTTGGATATATGCAAAACAATCAATGTGATCCACCATATTAACAAATTGAAGAAGAAAAGTCATATGATCATCTCAATAGATGCAGAAAAAACTTCTGACAAAATCCAACACCCATTTATGATAAAAACTCTCCAGAAAGCTGGCACAGAGGGAACCTACCTCAACATAATAAAGGCCACAGCAATCATCATTCTCAATGGTGAAAAACTGAAGGCATTTCCTGTAAGATCAGGAGCAAGACAAGGATGTCCACTCTCACCACTACTATTCAACACAGTTTTGAAAGTCCTAGCCACAGCAATCAGAGAAGAAAAAGAAATAAAAGGAATCCAAATTGGAAAAGAAGAAGTAAAACTGTGACTGTTTGCAGATGACATGATACGATACACAGAGAATCCTAAAGATGCCACCAGAAAACTACTAGAGTTAATCAATGAATTTGGTAAAGTTGCAGGATACAAAATTAATGCACAGAAATCTATTGCATTCCTATACACTAATGATGAAAAATCTGAAAGAGAAATTAAGGAAACACTCCCATTTACCATTGCAACAAAAAGAATAAAATACCTAGGAATAAACCTACCTAGGGAGACAAAAGACCTGTATGCAGAAAACTATAAGAAACTGATAAAGAAATTAAAGATAAAACAAACAGATGGAGAGATATGCCATGTTCTTGGATTGGAAGAATCAATATACTGAAAATGACTAAACTACCCAAAGCAATCTACAGATTCAATGCAATCCCTATCAAATTACCAATGGCATTTTTTACAGAACTAGAACAAAAAATCTTAAACTTTGTATGGAGACACAAAAGACCCCAAATAGCCAAAGCAATCTTGAGGGAAAAAAACGGAGCTGGAGGTATCAGGCTCTCAGACTTCAGACTATACTACAAAGCTACAGTAATCAAGACAATATGGTGCTGGCATAAAAACAGAAAGATAGATCAATGGAACAGGATAGAAAGCCCAGAGATAAACCCACTCACATACAGTCATCTTATCTTTGACAAAGGAGGCAGGAATGTACAGTGGAGAAAGGACAGCCTCTTCAATAAGTGGTGCTGGGAAAACTGGACAGGTACATGTAAAAGTATGAGATTAGATCACTCCCTAACACCACACACAAAAATAAGCTCAAAATGGATTAAAGACCTAGATGTAAGGCCAGACACTATCAAACTCTTAGAGGAAAACATAGGCAGAACACTCTATGACATAAATCACAGCAAGATCCTTTTTGACCCACCTCCTAGAGAAATGGAAGTAAAAACAAAAATAAACAAATGGGACCTAATGAAACTTAAAAGCTTTTGCACAGCAAAGGAAACCATAAACAAGACAAAAAGACAACCCTCAGAATGGGAGAAAATATTCACAAACGAATCAACTGACAAAGGATTAATCTCCAAAATATATCAACAGCTCATGCAGCTCGATATTAAAGAAACAAACCGCCCAATCCAAAAATGGGCAGAAGACCTAAATAGACATTTCTCCAAAGAAGACATACAGATGGCCAAGA